CTCTCTCTCTCTCTCTCTCTCTCTATATATATATATATATATATATATATCAAAAATTTACTAATTAGATTTTATTAGTTTTGTTTTTTCGAATTATTTGAATATATTTGTTGATGATTCTATTAACAACTAACATATATTTATATAGACAATCTTTGGATCATTAACCAAAGTACTCATGTTACCGTGCAATGCACGATTCCCACACTAGTTTAATAATAATGCTGGAATATTACTCAAAATATATCTCTGTTGGAATTATAAATAAAAACGGAATTCTATTTAACTTGAAGAAATAATAATGTATTAATAAGGAAATGGTCCATATTTCAAAAAATAAATAAATGTTTAAATCTAAAATGTACTTTTCATTATTGACGTAAAAATAGTAATGAATGAAAATATGAATTTCAAAATGTTGTAACATAACTATAAGAGTAGTGCCTGGTTGGTTTGAGTTTGACTCCAAAGGTTAAAAGTATCAGGAGGTCTCAGGTTCAAATCCAAGGAGAAATAAAAATTCTCTTGTGGCTACGGAGGTTCAAATGCGGTGACTTCGGGCTATTTGTAAAACAGGTGGTCGTCTTGCGATTAGTCGGCTCGCATAACGGGTTGGATATCCAAGTTAATAAAAAAATTGTTGTAACATAAAAAGATATATGTTATAATCTTTGTTTTAAAATATAAATCATAAAAAAATGATATATTTGTTTTTTTCTACATAATTTACTATATTTAACTCAACATTAAGAACACAAAAATGAAGATGTTGTCATTTTCAATCTAACACTAAAAACATAAAAATAGAGATGTTGTCATCTTCAATCTAACACTAAAAACATAAAATAGGGGAGACTAATTGCAGCTTTGTATATTGGTCAATGCACATTTACTTACTATTTTTTTCTTTACACACATGAGCATCAAAACTCATTTTTTATATTCTCAATACTTAAATTGACTCGATTTCGATATTAAACAGGGTGCAAATAGCAATCCCTCAATAAAAGTCTAATGGGGTTGTTTGTTTATTTCTTAATAGTTCCATTAAAAGACAACCTCTGAACCGTTAAGATGTGAATCTTGTTTGATAAAAAAAAAGTTTGTCTCTTTATGGTTTTAAAACCCTCTAAATGATTTTGTATCATAGATCTCCTTTAACCATTAAGAGCCCTAATTTTATTGTACACAATTACCAAACAATTATATTTCATTTTGCACTATATCACGAGAGCCTCTTAATCATTCTGCACCAAATCATTTAACAAATTACAAACAACCCCTAATACATTAAAAAAATTGGAGGTCCAAAATGTTAACATGGAGGTCAATAAAGTAGGCATTTAAATATATATATATATATATATATATATATATATATATTAACATTTTATTCAATTTTTCTAATTATAAGTATTGATTAATAGTTTAAGATATTAACAAAATAGTATAATAATAAGTATATATATTATTTTATAATTAAAAATGTTTTTAGTGTTTTTTAGGAGAAATTAATTAAACTAGTCATTTTGATCGATGAGTTTCACCCTTTCTCTTCTAAAATTACCAAAATTGTCATAGGCTCGTAATTGACAGGTTCGCAATTTACGGAGGTATCAAAGTGAAAAAAATGAAGTTTCTAAACTAGGCAAGGCAACGGGGTGGGGATGGGGCGGGTTTTGTAATTCCCGGCCCCGGCCCCGGTTTGTAATACCGTCCCCCGGCCCCGGTCCCCGGCGGGTACGGGGATTATCATTCCGTCCCCGGTCAAATTCTAGCAATCCCCGGTCAAAACCCGGTAAAAAGTATGTTTTAGTTTGATTATGCCGGGGATCACCGGCCCCGACCCCGGCCCCGGTTTGAGTACATCCCCTGTCCCCGGCCCCGTCCCCGGTTTGAGTCTACCGGGGATCCCCGGCCCCGCCCCTGGGACCCGTTTTAGCAGGGAATCCCCGCCCCTGTTCGGGTCGGGTGAACCGGGTTCCCCACCGGGTCGGGGCAAATCACCATCCCTATTCTAAACCAGTCAATTATAAGGACCAAATATGTAAATTTGTTAATAGGTCCCATTTTTTTTAAATTTATATATTTGGTTCCTATAATTACGAAGCTGGTTAAGGAACTTCATTATTTTCTTTCACATCGACCTTCCACAAATTACTTAATCATGAAATTAAGTTGTAACCTCTGAATCACTAAGGGGTTGTTTGTTTATCTCTAGTTACATTAAGTTGTAACCTCTGAATCACTAAGAGGTTAATCTTGTTTGATAAAAAAATTTATAACTTAATGGTTCTAAAACTTTATGAATGATTTTGTATCTTTGGCCCCTCTTAACCATTCAGCGTCTAATTCCATTGTAAACAATTAACAAACAATTATATTTAATTTTGTATTATATCATAAAAGTTTTTTAATCATTATGTATAAAATCATTCAACAACTGTCAAATAATTCCTAAGATATGAAATCATATGATTATAATATTTTAATTAACTTCTCGGTTATGAGGTTGAAATTGCACCTTTTTAATGTTTAAAAACCCATAATTTATCAATGGTTTTTTTTTCACATATTTCAAAGTCAACTCTATCATAAATACGAATAACATTATATTTCCTATCAAACTTTTTATATTAAAAAAACACATATTTCAAGCTCTTCCAAAATCGAGAGTAAGTCTGACTTGTTCGTAAAATTCATACTCATATTATATGTTATGTATGACACCAAAACACTGTTTTAACCCACAAAAATGAATTATTATCGCAGCTTGTCTGATCTTATTATTTTCTTAGGAGTTTAAGGGTTCAAACATCACCAAATATATGGAAGGTGTGTGAGTTTATTTGTTGCATTTGCTGTATATAAATATTATATTAAAAAAAAAATTGTTTACCAAATGCATCCTACAAAAATCTTATGTGTCATATCTTTTTTATCCTAAAAATAACTATTTTATTTAAGTTTTCTAAAAGAGATACAATATTTATTGATTTTAAAATATTGTATAACGTTTATATGATATCTACAAAATTAAATATGATCCATGAGTGTTTTAAAATTTTATTTTATATAAAATTACTTTAAATATTTTATTATTATCCACAAAAATTAGATAAATTATATATAAAATAGAGAAATTAATTATATTAGTAATTTCAATCGAATGGTTTCACCTTCTAGCCATTTATCTCCAAGGTTTATCAA